TCGCGATTGCCTCATTGATCTTTTCACATACCTGCTCCTGTTCGACGTTCTGGCCAAAAGCGTCAACAAAATTTCCAGTCGGATCCATCAGGTAGACGAATATAGAGTGGTCGACGAGGTAGTCGCCCTTTGGATCGGCGTTGGGTGGTGTGGAGAAGTAGACGCGGTAGGCTTTACACACAGCTTTGGTCTCGGCGTAACCTCCAGTGAGACCAATGAAAGAGGGGTGGAAGTCTTTCAGGTATTCTGAAATTTGACGCGGGGTATCGCGCGCTGGGTCTACTGAAATGAATACTGGAAGGAATATGTCGCCGTGTTCTTTCTCTGCAAACAAGATCGATAATCAATATTCAGTATTAGACGAAGAGACAAGGATACGCACGCATCTTGTTCAGCACGGCTGTCATTTTATCTAATTCCGCTGGACAGATATCCGGGCAGTTCGTGAACCCGAAGTAAACCATTGACCACTTTCCAAGAAGGTTCTCATCCGTGAATGGTTTGTCATCGTGTGTCGTCAATGAAAAGGGACCTCCTATGCTCGGTCTGCCATAAGACTTGAGACCTCGTTCCTTTTCTTGCGAAACTTGAGCACTCCTGCAGAAGAATGACGATCAAGTTGGTGCGCACCTCGTTCCTCTTCAAGTCTTGCCTTTTCGTGCCTAAAGTAGTAAGCCAATCCGAGTCCTGCCAGAATGAAAAGGGCTGCAGAGGTCGGCGTAAAGGCCTGGGATGATCAATTCCTCAGCGAGTGAACTTTTTGATGTTGAACACGTTTGTCCTCACCCCAATCGAGTTTCGTTCTGTGAGCTGAGCGTACGTTCGTCGTTTGATTCCTACCTGGCTGGTTGTTTCTGCACTTCGAAGGTTCTTAGGGGATCCCGGTCGGTAAAAAGGTTTGGCTGGTGTATGTAGAGATCTCCATGATGTCAAGGGAGTCTGTCTAGGGCAGCGGTGGAGACTGCAGCGGGCTAATGAAAACATGGGAGGTCGTGTCACAGGCGTCACGCGTACTCTTCCTCCGACGGAGTCCGACCTGCGTTTGCTATTTTGAATTGTGTTCAGTGACCGTGATGTTGACCGACGACCAGATCCCTTTCTTCCTCCAAACTCTCTGTAATCTCCCCTGAAATAAACTCTCAAGCAACTCTCAAAAGAGTATTTCAGGAACCTCGAAACTCGGCGGCTACCTTCCTGCTGTTTCCGTAGAATTTCAACTTCGAGACCGATTTGGTTCAACATCGGTGGGCGCCATCAAAGTTTGCCATTGGAGACGAAGAGATACGTATACAGAGGCCGGATAATCCAGAACGTGCGTACCTATATGATATTCTAACCAACTTTTGCCCGGATGACCTTTATGCTCTCAGCTCAGTCGTTCATGAATTGGCTTGCGGGACGACCACCGCGCGACCTGGAATTGGTCAGATGGTTCCTTACCGCATTTGATGCCTGGTTTTTCTGATGGGAAGGTTCTTGATCAGGCCTGCATTGTAACGATGTTACGCCTCGTTACTAACGGAGCGAACGGGACTTGTTAGGACTTGTTGGATGAGATTCCATGATGCCGGTGAATTGTTGGTAACTGATCATATGCAGGTCTTTTTTCTCTTTTCACAAGGAGAATGCGACCACGAAAATGAGACAAAACTCAGACGGCGCCATCGGGACCGGAATCATTCCTGTGTATTCTGTTGGGTGTGTCAATATTTGAATATACAGGTTTTTTTTTTTTGATAAAGCTGATGAAATTTTCATCCAAGTTGATGTTTGGATTGGATAGATAGCCTCCTTTCCTTGAAAGGGCTACATTTCTCGGCTATCACTTTTTAAGGTGGTTTTTTGACGCTGATCGTCAGAGATCTTGATGAAGAGGTGTGTTAACTCCATTTCCCTGATTTGCTGATAGAATTCCCGACAAAGTAAAAGATACCTTACCCGTCTCTAAACGGAAGCCTACGCAAGCACCGACAGAAACCGCAGAGATGCATAGAGGCCCTGAGCGATAGGGCGGAAGAACCACGAACTGTTCGGCGCCCGCGTTGCAGCCTCTGGTCGTCGTCGTCGTCGCACTTGCATCTGGCAACTAGAATCAGTTCTCAACTATGTCACTGTGGGTCCATCCGACCCCATCGTCCTACGAAGTAAGGACGATATGTCAGCTTAACCCTGCTTATCCTCCAGGAACACGTTATGTGTATTTTGAAAAACGGCAAATCGGACTTGTCTGCCTGGCGCCTGCCCCTGGCCTGCCCTTCATTTATCAACGATCCCGATCCCTTCTGGCTTGATATATTATCCCATATTATTATATAAAATACCATTATCTGGGCAGTGATTGCTCACCCATTCTCAACGATGCGGGCCTCTTCACTCCTTTTCGTTTTGTCCGGCGTTGTCGCTCCTTCCCTCGCCGTAATCTACACAGACCCATCGCAACTCTCTACCTCATCCTATGACTACGTTATCATCGGTGGTAAGTCTCTTTCCATACCTCGCAAATACCTGTTGTTGACGTCCTTCTTAGCTGGCAATGCCGGAAACGTAATCGCTAACCGTCTGACGGAGAATCCGAATATCCAAGTCTTGGTCCTTGAAGCCGGTGTTAGGTAGCTACTCATGCTTGCCCTGATAGTTGGTATATCACTAAGACGTATACAGCGACGTGGGAGTTCTGGCGGCCATTGCTCCCTTCCTTGCCCCCACTTTGACGCCAGGTGGGTTACTTCTTGCCCTTGTTCAGCACTATGACTGAGAAGGGAATAGGAACTCCTTATGACTGGAATTACACCGTTACCGCTCAGGCTGGTCTCAACAACCGAACTTTCCCTTACCCCCGAGGAAAGCTGCTGGGAGGCTGCAGTACTGCAAGTACGTCGTATTTTATCTTGAAAATGAAACCCTCAATCCTAACGAAGACTCCTTCGTCTAAGACTATATGGTTCACCAGTATGGATCGTCGAGCGACTTCGACAAACTTGCTGCTGATAGCGGGGATTCCGAATGGTCGTGGAGTAACATCAAGCAATACATCTACAAGGTATGTTGAACACAACCGTTCCCTGGACTATCTTTCTGAAACGATATTTTAGCACGAAAAAATCGTTCCTCCTACCGATGGACATAATGCAACTGGTCAGTATATCCCTGCCAACCATGGCACTAGCGGCCAACTCCCCGTCAGCCTTCCCGGAAACTCCCAGACCATCGACGCGATGGTTATTGCAGCAACTCAGCAATTGTCGGAGTTCCCTTTCAACCCCGACATGGGTGGAGGAAACGTCTTGGGCCTTGGCTGGACTCAGTCATCCATCGGAGCTGGTGTACGCAGCAGCTCGTCGACCAGCTATCTTAGGAATGCCGTCTCGCGACCAAACCTTACCGTCCTCCTTAACGCGACAGTCCAGAAACTTGTTAAAACTAGTTCCTGGAGAGGCCAGCCTGTCTTCCGCTCTGTGAAATTCGGAGCTCCTGGTGGTATGTGAAATCTCAGCCCTCAGTTCGCTAAGGCTAACTAGTTTCAATGAAGCCACTCCCTCATACGTGTATGCCACTAGGGAGATTGTTCTCTCTGCTGGATCAATCGGTACTCCTCAAATCTTGCTCCTTTCTGGCATCGGACCCAAAGCAGACTTGACGGCCCTCGGTATCCCGACTATCATTGATAACTACTCTGTTGGCAAGAACCTATCCGACCACGTTCTCCTCCCCAACATTTTCGAAGTTAATGGAAATGACAGCTTGGATGGTATCATCAGAGGCGACGCCGTCCCAGCAGCAATGGCCCAATGGACTGCCAACAAAACTGGCCCCCTTGCTAATGGTGTCACCAACAACCTTGGATTCCTGAGGCTTCCTTCCAACTCGTCCATCTTCTCGACCGTCCCCGACCCGGCCACTGGCCCCAATGCTTCTCACTGGGAATTGCTTGTATCCGTAAGTCTCTCTACGTCCATTCTGCTTGATCATAAAATCGATTTTTTTGACAGAACTTCTGGCTTAACCCCTATGTCTCGATCCCGCCAACAGGAAGCTTCATGACGATCATCAGTGCTCTCATCTCACCCACCTCCCGTAAGTCTTTCTCTATCTGCAGTTCAACAATTTCGAGGAGCCTGATGATTGCCTAGGTGGCTATGTTCAACTTGCCTCCAGCAATCCTTTCGCCGCCCCTATCATCAACCCCAATTTCCTGACCACTGCGTTCGATGTCTTCGCCATCAGAGAGGCCGTGAGAGCCGTCAAGCGTTTCGCGTCTGCCCCCGCTTGGTCTGGCTACGTTATTGGTCCTTACGGCGATCTTGCGGGAACGACAGACGATCAGATTGATGCCCACGCTCGTGCTCTCTCCTCCAGTGTCTTCCATCCCGTAGGAACTGCGTCGATCTCTCCAGAGGGCGCCAAGTACGGTGTTGTTGACCCTGATTTGACGCTCAAGGGTGCTATCGGCATCCGCATTGTTGACGCCTCCGTTCTCGTGAGTATGCTTTACTTATGCCTACACATTATGTCTCATTTTATTGCGATATATAGCCGACTATTCCCAACGCCCATACCCAAGGTCCCGTATACCTGCTCGCAGAAAGGGCTGCTGACATCATCAAAGCCGCTCAGTGAAGGATGGTCAAGGAGTCTTTGGGGTCACAGACTTTCGGAATATACCATGCAGTTCGAATTTTCTAGACCACGATACCATCAGTACTCCTACTCCCATTTATTTTACCTATTACCACATCGTCGCATGTATGTAGTGGCTCGCATGTATGTATGTAGTGGCTCTCATGTATGTAGTGGCAAACCAATAATTCTATAACCCGTATTGCTTGATAACAACAGTCTGCGACTTGTTGTCGATCATCTGCTAAGAGAATATTTGAGTCCATTTAAGTCCAAGTACATAGGGTCTTTCTCTGTTCCTCGAACAAAATTGAGCTTGCAGCTGGGTGGATGAAAAAATTAGGAACAGATTATAAAATTATTGACTTGGTAAACAAAAACACTGACAACAGAGGGATTCGAACCCTCGCCCTTTCGGACCAGATAACTCTAGGAGCCTGATTCTGGCGCCTTAGACCACTCGGCCATATTGCCATGGGACTGTTGGTTCAGTTACTATTTAAATTCATGGGGAACACATTTAAATATAGCACAGTATTTAAATCTGCGGAGCGCTTATCTCTCGAACTTCAAGTTCTTTTACATTGCGGGTACGTTTTTAAATTACATGAAATATTGGGATGATAGCTTATTAAATATTGTCAGATTGTTTTTGTGTAGACGGCTAGCCATACCAGACACGTTGACCATGTATCTAGCAGCTATTTTGTGCAAATCCTTTAGAATGAGAATGTATCGCTCTTTACAGTTTCTTAATCTGGGGCCAGGCGAAGATCTATATACCTCCATACGATGTCGCGT